CCCCCCCCCCCCCCCAAAAAAAAAAAAAAAAAGGAACAGCCATCGAGTTTTGACGAACTTGATATATCCCCTGATCCCTGCATCAGCTGGCAAATCCCACAGTTAATTCGCTTGTAGTTGAAAAAAAATTGGAACGATACAGATGCGGAGAAGATTAGCATGGCCCGTGTGCAATCAAGGATGACACGCACAAATCGAGAAATGGCCTAAATTAAAAAGAAAGAAAAGAAAATAAAAAATTCCTATTCAACACAAAGTGCCAAGATTCAAGAGTGGACTTTGTTGGGACTGTTGAGTGTGTGTACAGTCTTGTGCACAGACGCTACAGAAGATGAGGATGACAACGAGGAGGATAAGACCATAAAGTACGTAAGGAAGCTGGAGGCTGAGGTGCGCAAGTACAAGACATACCTGCTGGAGGAACACAAGAGAAGCAGAAACTTGAGAGTCGCGCTGGAGTCAAAGCAACGAGTTATCGATAAGTATACAGGTATGTGTTCTGGTTTACAGCGGGCATGCAAGTGGGCGGTTATGGCACAAAAAATTATCTCTCTGTCTCCCGTTACTTGCCTCGTTTCCACAGTGTGCAAGTGCGCCGTTATCGCACATAAGTACGCTACAGATACTGTACACATAGTATATACTATATACTATATAGATAGTCTATATGTACTTTAGTCGTAGACTATAGGGTATAAACTGCTTGTACATAGTCCATCCATAGTGCAAGGATTATGAGCGGGAGCGATAGACAGAAAACCAAGTTCCAAAATCACAAAGAAGCTCAGATAGTCGAATACCAAGATGAGCGCACAATGCACCAAGATACCATTCCAATAAGAGCAATACAAAGAGCTCCGATGCCCACGTCGCCACACTCTGGACACACCAACATAGTATCCACTGTCCCTCCTACTGTGGGGAGCCTAGCGCCCAGCCTACTCTACTCAGCCTATCTAGCATATCTACGTTCTTGCAGCCAGATCACATCGCTGTTGAAGACCAATGTACGTTGACGTCATCTCCAATGCCGACCGCCATCATACATCAGGTACGTGCTCTCTATCCTCCCCTCAACACCTCGTCTCCCGTCTTCTTCATGTGCCTCCTACCTGAAGACCACCATCACCACCTCCAAGCACCCGCAAGCTCGACCCGGCTATGTCCGCCGTGCGCCCACTGCCACCGCAGTGCCCTCACCGCTTGGTGCCCGCGCGCGCCCCAGCCTGCCCGCATAACGCAGCTTTGCAGAGCAATGCAGCAGCGTGGCCGCAATGCCTGCACAGGCCAGAATGCCCCAATGCTGGGGCAGGAAAGTGTGCCCGTGTCTGGCTGGCCTGGCCAGGCGTGTGTGTGTGTGT